TTCTTCCTTCCTATTATCGGATTAGAACATAACAATGTTACCACGGCCATTTGCAGGAGTCGTTTAGGGCTGGTTAGTGGGGTTGGGGGGAGAGTTAATCTGTCTCAATGAAACCCACAGCTCCAGCCAGGAAATACATTTCAGGGAATTTAAATGGAGTGAACACACACACACACACAAACAAACCCTCACACGTGCACAAGGCCGCACAGACACAACCACGCTCACGCCAACAGGCATACGCACTCAAACGTGCATGCGCAGATGTTCACAAGCAGGCACGTACACACACAAGCACGTGCACGCCTATATATACAAGCATCCATGCCTGTTGACACACACTAGCTCTTTTTATTATTGTGCAAAATACCATTAATCCTAGAGCAAAGAGATCTGTCCTGCAGGGTCTGAGCCGGAGAGATACTGAGAGCATTGCATCGGGGGGAGTTCTGGGTGCTCAGCGGCTCTCAGGATCAGGCCCAGAAGGATTTTCTTTGCCAGACTAGGATTTGTATAACAGGAAGACACTGGACTCCATCCTATGACCCTGAGCGACGGCTACCTGTCCATCTCCGTGTGCATTTTGCATTGGCACAGGACATCCCTGCATTTTGGGGGCATGACCCCCCACACACACACACACACCTCAAAAAATCCCTCTCCCACCCATTTGCCTTTCTAGCCGTCTTGTCAGTTTGGGAGGTTTGCACAGCAGGACAAACTTCTCCCAACACAACAACAGGCTGCAATGGGACCCCCAGGATGTTTCTGTACGACGTCACCATAGCTTCATGCTGCAATCCAGCCCTCAAAGCATGTGGATGTTGTGTCAACACATGGCACAGGAATCTCAAGGTGGGGTCGCTTGCTCGGCCCCTCCACAAATAGCCATTCAGACAGCTGTGATCATTGCTCGTGGGATGTGTATTCACCCCAAACCAAATCAGCATCAGGCTGGAAAATTCAGCTCACCAGGCATGCTGGTATAATACACTGGCTCAAGGCATTCAGCTATGGCTCTCCCTCTAGTCTCTGCCCCCATCCTTCTCCCACTCCCAGATGAAAGACTTAGGACAGAATTTTCCAAAGTGACTAGTGATCCTGGCTAGAGCAGGCCCAACCTGAGACACTTGGAAGCGGTCTGATTTGAGGGTGTTACAGTTCAACTCTTCTGAATGTTAGGCCCCTTTGAGGCATCTGAAGTTGATGACTGAGGCACCCAAAGTCACTAGTTGCTTTTGCAAATCTTGGCCTTATTCCTGCAGCTCAACAGTAGATGCTTGTGCATTGGGTACCCAGATCCCACCCTGCAGCCGATGGTACTGTCTAGACGTGTTAGCACAGCTCTACACGCTGGCTGTCCCATCTGCCCAGCTGGGTCTCTCATATCTGGCCATCGGCTCACATCCTCTAGTGTCATAGAATCATAGAATCATAGAATCTCAGGGTTGGAAGGGACCTCAGGAGGTCATCTAGTCCAACCCCCTGCTCAAAGCAGGACCAATTCCCAACTAAATCATTCCAGCCAGGGCTTTGTCAAGCCGGGCCTTAAAAACCTCCAAGGAAGGAGACTCCACCACCTCCCTGGGTAACGCATTCCAGTGCTCCACCACCCTCCTAGTGAAATAGTGTTTCCCCAATATCCAACCTGGACCTCCCCCACTGCAACTTGAGACCATTGATCCTTGTTCTGTCATCTGCCACCGCTGAGAACAGCCGAGCTCCATCCTCTTTGGAACCCCCCTTCAGGTAGTTGAAGGCTGCTATCAAATACCCCCTCATTCTTCTCTTCTGGAGACTAAACAATCCCAGTTCCCGCAGCCTCTCCTCATAATTCATGTGCTCCAGACCCCTAATCATTTTTGTTGCCCTCCGCTGGACTCTTTCCAATTTTTCCACATCCTTCTTGTAGGGTGGGGCCCAAAACTGGACACAGTATTCTAGATGTCGAATAAAGGGGAACGATCATGTTCCTCGATCTGCTGGCAATGCCCCTACTTATACAGCCCAAAATGCCGTTAGCCTTCTTGGCAACAAGAGCACACTGTCAGAGGACCCTTCTCCAGCAAGAGAGCGGACAGTGTCCTAGCACACACAGGAGGGAAAATGTTGTAGAGTGGGAGGAAGCTGCTACCTTCCCCAGGATCAACAGCACCTCCACACCCTGGATGATGCTTCAGTGGGTGGATCTCCGGGAAATAGATGGGTTGGAGATCAGGAGGCTGTCTTGGCAAGTGGCCACATTGGCAGGGCTGGGTTTTAGGGAGGGGGCTTTGGAGGAGGGAGGCAGGGCAGAGAGCGACCGTGGAGTGATGCCACTTCACAAGGCGGCAACATTTGCACCTTCCTTTCACTCCTTGAGGCCGTCGCCTTCTCCCGTGTTGTGCCTGCTCTTCCCCACATGCCGGGGGGACAGGGTGCTGCTGCGGTTGCTGATACCATTGCTGAGTGCAGGGGTAAGGGGCTGTTTTTGTCTCATTCCTGCTAGATGAAGTCAGGGGCCTGGTCTCAAGCCCCGAAGACCAGCTTTGTGCAGGGTCAGGGCCTTGTCCTGGCAACAGTACTGTGAGAAGGGTAGACATGGACTCATTTTTTAAAGGAGATGTGAACTGAAGGGGCCCTGCCCCCGTTCTGGGACTCCAGGGGCGCCCACTAAAGCCGACTCGGGGGCCGGTGTTATTTCCATTGCGGAAGGCTGGGTGAGAGCAGAGGTGAGCGGAGACGAAGCAGAACCCAACAAGTGTTAATGGGGTTAGGAAGGCAGTAAGAAGTGAGCCAGAGAAGCAGAAAATTCTCCGGCATCTACGCCTCATTACCCCGCTGAAAACTCTTGTGTATGTTAACTGTGGCATACAGGATCTTTGATTCCCCACTAATTACAGCTATCGGGTGAATACTAAGTGGGCTTCTTTGCAGGTCGGAGGTTTCTGGCACTGGGAGGTCACAGATGGGAAGCACTGGGCGAGTGTCTGGGACAACCAAAGGGGGGTTCACTCTAATTAGACGTCTATTCATAAAGCCCAAGGAGCCTCGTAAGAAGCACCGTGATGGTCCGAGGCAGCTTTCCAGCCATCACCCTGTGCAATCATGTAGCGGCGCTTTGCGGGGCTGCTTGCTCAGCACATCTGCTGGGGAGGGGAAGAGCTGCCCAGGATGCCTTCAGGGCACTGGGCATATTGGCGCAAGGTGAGAAGGAGTGAGCAGGGGCGAGTGCACTGCAGAGCAAGGACCCTACCACATCGGTTCATGTGCTTAGTTATTTGTGTTACCAGCAATCCCCCAATCAGAGCTCCATAAACACAGAGTTTGAGACAGTCCCCAAAAAGAGATTCTCCCCATGGTACCGAGGGGGAACTGGCACCAAGGCGAGGTGACTGGCCCAAGGTCTCACAGAAGGAGTCTGGAGCAAAGCTGTGATTTGAAGCCAGATGTCCTGCCTGGGGTCCCTTCCAGTCGTACGCATCTGTGACTCTGTCTTGAGTCCCGGCACGGGGCCTTCCTTGCAAGGACATCTTTCCTCTCCAGGCTACTCCAGCCGAGTACCAGGAGTGGGGCCTGAGAGGGGAGAGTCTGGCTACATGTCTGCTTAGAATGATGAGCCTGGCAGCCAAGCACAGGTCAGCTCCTCAGACGCACCCATTCCTGGCCCTACTTTACCCTGCCCCTATGGGCATGCAAGGGGTTGAGACGCCACACGGCCCCGTGTGAGACTGAACTCATTCTGACAACCCCCGCTGCACACAAGGCCCTTGCCACACATTCACGCCATGCATTCATCAGGAAACGTTTTCCACATTGTTCGCCTTGCGCCAGCTCTGCCCACACAGACGCGTTCCAGTCTCAGATCCCCCAGCAGCCGGCTCATTCAGTAGGAGGTACTCAGATATTAGGGGGATAAAGGCCGTAGAGCTCCCTAGATATGTTCCCAAGCACAGTAGATCATCTCCCCACAAAGGGAAGGAACCAGGTCCATGCCAAAAAGCCCGCCAGCATCATTTGGCTACAGTCCTCTGCTCTCTTCCATCGGGGAGAAAACAAAAACCTCCCCCGACTCCTGGCCCCTTATAAGAACTCAAACCAAACCTCATCTCAGTCCTGCAATGCTAAGATAAGAGATGAGGCCAAGCCACAAAGCTGGGGCTGGAGTTGTGTCCACACTTCTCCAAAGCTTGGGGATGGTCGGGAATTTTCTGAGGAACCTTTTTTTTTTTGCTGGAAAATGCCAATTTGTCAGAACCAAAACCTGTCACGGAAGCAGCTTGGGTTTGATGTTAATGTTTCTCAGACCTGGGGACAAGTCTCTGCTCTGCCTGGGACTCTTTCTCTCTGGTTTTCCATACAAATAATCTCCGACACAGAATGACAACAAATGACTAAATCTCGAAACGTTTCGTGAAAAGGAATTCTTGTTTTCTGGCCAGCCCTAGTGTTGTTCTGTCCCTAGGGGGCAGGATCAACCCATTGTGGGAACTGAGACCAGAGCAAAGAATGGGAAGGGAGGCCAACATCCCTGAATTTGGTGGGCTTCTTGTCCTGGGACTTGGTTCTGTCCATTATAGAAGCACACACCAGCTATGAAATGTTCATGAGGCTCTGAGCCTCTCCACAGTATGTGAGTGCCTGGATCTTTAGCTGGGCTGTTTCTTCACTTCTGAAATGTGAAAACATCATGGAACAGGTTGTTTCCCCTCCATTGCCTGGAAGCCGAAGCACCAGAAATCTCTCAGGAAAGCGTCTCCCCTATGAGATTCTCAGCCCTCTCCTCTCTATGGCCCCTTTCATCCTCAAGAACTCTCAAAAGGTGTTAAAAGTGACATCCAAACAATCACAGTGATCGCTTCCCTCGGTGAAATGTAGCCAGGACTTCCGAGTCCAGTCCCCTGCTCTGATGACACTACCTCCCAACGTCCCAAGTCCCCTGGTCCCCTTCCCGAGGGCTCTGAAAAACACACAGATCTGAGGCAAAGCAGCAGGAGCAAGTGAAAGTCGCCCGCACTCACGATTATCATCTGGCAGACGTGACCTCTGCACAGTTCGGAATAGGATGAGTAATGCATGTACACCACCCAGCTGCCCACGAAGATGCCCAGCCAGGCAAGGAAAAGATATTTCACTTTGATGCCAGGGAGACGACTCTGGAAAAAACAACAGGAAAATGCCAACATTACATACAAGGAATATAAAAGTTAACGCTTGAAAAGGGCTAGGCAGGGGGTATACTGTGACTTATTACACTCCAAGTGGTGATTTCACCGTTACGTTGTCCGTCCTCCTAACCCCGGCTGTTGTATTCACCTGTTGCCTTGCTGAGCTTTGAGTGTGAACTCTCTGGGGCAGGGACAGTCCTGTGTCATTTTTGTTATTTGCATTGTAGTAGTGTATGTTTGTACAGCTCCTAGCACAGTGGGGGCAGTGATCCCGGATCAGGGCCTTCTTTGGGCACTACTACAATGCAAATAACAAAAAGGAGGCAAGTACAGAGAAGAGGATTTGGGCCCCATGGGAGGAGCATTGCTCTCCTTCCTCTAAGGATCAGGTAAAATAAGCAGATGGCCATGGGTGAGTCTCTGCAGGGAGCAGCAGTATTAAGGTTTTGGCGGCGGTCCCCATAGGGGACATATCGTACAATGAGGATCCTCCATAGGCCAATTGGTTCAGACCGTGGCCGGTGGAACTTGGCCATTGAAGTCAGTGGAGCACTGCCGATTAACACCAATTTTCCCCAGCTGGGGATCTGGCCCCAGTGGCCTCTGGGCATGGAGGGAAGGAGCAGGAGGAAAGTGCAGGAGTCACTCCCCTTCCCTGCTCCTGCAGCCGTCTTGAATTTAAAGCACGCTGAGTGGAGCAGTTAGGTGCATTTATAACTGGGCTGTTTTTCACTCCCAGAATTACTGGCAGGTACAAAGCAAATCACATCAGAGTCACCCACAGCAAGTTCTGCTCCTGCACCGTCCTTCCTAGGGGAAGAAGCAATTACCCTCCTCTCAGTCCCATTGTGTATGTCTACACTGCACTGTAGACCCAGGCTCAGGTTTGAGACCAACCCCGCCCTTCTGTCCACACACAAATCAGTCTGACTCGAGTCAGCTACTCAGGACCCAGGTCCTAGGACCCACCTGGCATGGGGGATCTGAGCCCGAGTCCCACTGAGACTTGAGTCCAAGCCCTGTCATTTTGCAGTGCGGATGCAGCTCAAGCCGCAGATCCAAGTCAGAGGGTCTGCGTAGGGCAGCATGGACCCATTAGCCCAGGTGAGAGACCACGGGTCCAGCAATTGTAAACCCAGGTTTACAATGCAGTGCGGATGCTCAGGCCTGGGCTTGGAAACACTGAGTCCACTAGCCCGGGTCCCACAGACCCAGGCTTAAATGCAGTGTAGACACACCCGTGCTGCCCTGCTGCACAAAAGCCCAGCTGGAGGGAGTGTCAAAAGCCTCAGGCTGAGATCAGAGGAGTCTAGCTGGTTTCTGCCCAACCCTGATCATTTTTTTCACGGATTATAGCCCCAATTAAGCTGAAATGGGGCTTTTGTCAGCCCCTAAGGAGGGGAATTGCCGTCGAAAAAGCTTATTACATGTGGAGGCGAGAGGAGAAGGTCACCGAACAGGCTGTAGACATGCATTGACTATCAGGGGAAATATCCTAATGGTAGACACATGTGAGCTGTGTGTGTGGCCATGGGCATATGTATTCACATGTGTATCTGGGAACATACCCATTGGGGGAGTGAGTGTGTGTGTGTGTGTGAGAGAGAGTGTGCGTGTGTAAGGGAGTGACTGCGACCCAGATCCTCACGGGCAGCTATATATCTTGGAGGACCTGGGCCGGGGAGATCCGAGTGCTGTGTCTGCGTGTGTTCGGGAGGCACACTCACGTGATTACATTTCCACACGGAACAGTCTGAGCACCAGCAGGAACTTCAGACTTCTGTTCTCGGTAACCCTTTTTCTAACCTTTATTTGGATTTCTCTACACACCCCAATCTCTCACGTAACTATGGCTGTGAGTAGGTCATTTGCAAATTAAAGAAAAGGAAGATTATGCTGGGAGGATCCGAGACGTTGGCCAGACTCTTCAGGACGATGGAGATGGGTAACCACATGTCCTGAAACCCGGGAGGCGAAACCACATGCCAGCTGACTCCTAGGTTTGGGGTGATGTCGCTGTGCCCCAAGGTGATGCAGCTGTGTCACTGCGATGCAAGAAACATCAGCCCTTCCCAAAGCAAATATTTTCTGTTCTGTGAGAAATGAGGGGCAGGGGTCTACTCCAGGTCTACAGAGCCCTTTCCCCGCCTTCAAGTCCCTAACACCATGCCGGTGTTTTGGTTCAGTGCCAGCTGAGGGGGGGGGAAATCACCCCTGTGATCATGTGCAGCCCCTGGGGCTCTCTTTGAGCTCCATCTCCCCTGCACAGAGCCGCTCCAGCGCTGCCTTGCTTGTGAGAGCTCACAGTGCAAGCGCCTATCTCCCGGCACACGCTGGGCTCGGTCGCTGTACACCGGTGTAGCTCAATGCATTGGGTTGGTTTGCAGCACTGGAGGCGCTGACCCTCTTATGAAACTGTTCCAAGGGCTTGTTTAAAAAACTACATTTCCTAGCTACAATATAATCCCAGGGCAGGGATTCCAGTCATCCATAAACTCTCTAACACTGCCACTGTCCCCTTGGCAAGGGGCCCTGGGATAAAATGGTTCTATGCTGCCATATACAGCCGGAGGCATCGCCTGATGCTCCTTCAGGACACCTCGTGTACATGGAACAAAAACCCCAAGCACTGTCAGGATCTGTCCTCTGGTGTCCGTGCCTTGGCGTGGTGGGACAGCTTGCATGCTCTAATGATCCCCAGAGTCTGTGTCGGCGGGGGCTTTTTGCTCCGGGCAGGTTCAACCAGGCTGGATTGGTCTGTGGAGGAGAGGCCGGACAAAACAGACACCCTGGTCCTCCAGGTTGGGGGTTAGGCACAGGGCTACCAACCCTGTCCCGTAAAAAATAAAATATGTTACGGAAACAGCAGCGGAGAAATCGACTGTTATTGTGTGTGATGGCCCGCAGGAGTCAACAACCCGTAGGACTGGCAGCGGTGAAAGCCAAGAGGAAGCCACTGGCATGAAGACTGAAGTGCTCACCATCAAGACAAAAACTAAACATGGCGTTTGGAACACATGGACATCTCAGCAGAGATGAGACGCTTCAGCTTACACATCCTCGGTGTCAGCGAGAGCAGATGGACGGGATCAGGAAGATTAACAACAGCCTCGGGCCATGTGCTTCGGACGGACACGGATTCCATCACCAGAGTAGCAATAAGATGGACACCTGAAGGCAAGTGAAAACGAGGACGCCCGAAAACAACATGGTGAGGAGCTTTGGAAGCCGAGCTGAAAAACCTGGGGCACAGCTGGGGAACCACTGAAGACTTGCCAGAAACAGACAGGGATGGAGGAGCTTCGTCGCTGCCCTAAACACCAGAGACATAATGGGAACGGGATGATGATGATGACTGTCAGGTTCTTACCTCTGGGTTTTCATTCTGGAGAGTTCACAGGAACAATGAATAATGAATGGTCTGTCAAAGGCATCAACAATATTCCATGCAAACGATGCCGAGGTTCAGAGGCTGATTTGTTCCTGGCATTAAGATGGTAATTTCTCCCTCTCTGCCCCGGGGCCAGCAAGTGCAACGCCGCTGTCTGATATCATTTGGCTGCCCTGCCTGACTTTTGTAATGGGATCCAGGAGTCCTGGTGGATCCCCCGTGCCTCTTAAACAGTTAAGTAGATGTAGCAGCCAACTGCTTCATTTCATCTGCATGTGATGAGGAGGTTGCAACCTTTCCTGGGGAGGAACCTTGCCCCAGTAAGCCAGTCCTTGGTTGGCTCTAGACTGGATTCCTGCATTGCACTCTTCCTGAGGCTGCATCTGGAGATCACTTTGAAACTTCAACTAGTGCAGAATAGCAGCTGCAAACTTAGGACCTGAGCCAATGACCATGGGAGTCTTCCCATTGGCTTCAGTGGACTTTGGATAAGTCCCTTATTGGCAGAGCTCTTCACAGGAGACTTTGTTTCTAGATGCAATTTCTGGCACTAGTTTTGACCTATAAAGCACTTTATGGTTGGGATCATGGCTACCACAGAAACGCCCTCTCGCCTCATGTTCTGTCTCAACAGCTGTGATCAGTCAAATCACTCAAACAGAGAGTTCCCATTTTTAGGACCAGATCCAAAGGCCATTGACGTTAATAGGCATCTTTCTATTGATTTCAGTGGGCTTTGAATCAGACACCCACGGGCTAGAAGTAGGGTATCTTCACTTAGAGGTCACCAGCTGTGGACTCACACCCCATACTGGTCTGAGAGGCCAAGTTTATTGACCTTCAATGTGTGTTTCAATGCCCCCCATTTCTGCTGGCTTTTCCTGGAGGGGATGAGCTGGAGGGGCCAGCACGGTTTTAGGAAGTGGTGCAGAAATGTCAGTGAGAACTTCCACTGACACTGGGGGTCACTTTGTTAATTGTTCAGTTTATTATTTCATTAGCGCGTTTCCAGCTGAGCCTTAGAGAGTTCGGCAAACATGTTTTATCAACCAATCAATGTCGCTCTCATTGGTTTATCCGTGCCCACTCAGGGATGTTGTATTTGGGTCTCCAGCAAAGATTATAAACACACTGATCCAGGTAATCAGAGAGTCACATCGGGTTGAATCTGACCCACAGTTTCCAGTGAAATAACTAACCAAAATTGGCAACTGTTTGCATTCATGTAAGGCCAGATCTGAATGGACCCAATGGATTTACACCACTCCACACCGGCTGAGGATTTGACCCATTACGTTTGCCAAAGCCACTTCTGAATGCTAAATATTGGGGCTGTAGCACCTCCTTGATCTAGCTGCACGAACGCATCTGGTTTTCTGACCTGCTGTCGGAAATCAAGGGCACCAAACTCCCGTTCTTGCATTTCCGCTCGACGGGCTTGAGTTATTTCAGTTCAATCTGAATCACTGTTTCTGAACTAATTTGCAGATAAGTGTGAAAGCGTCTAGGTTTGAGCAGACATCTTGACACAGTGTGTGCTAATTGCAAATACTGTACCAAGGTGTGAATCAGCCCACAAAGCCCTAGGTTAGCAAGC